CTTAATGGTTTATTTATTTTTAGGGGAAAATATTCGGTTAAATTATTTTTCTTTCTCTTTTTTTTAAATTTTAATTTTACATTTGTAGGTGTTGTAATTGGTGTTGGTACTGTGGCATTATATTTTACGACATTTATCACAGACAGTATTAAGCAGAAACAATTGAATATATTTGAAGAACAAGTTTCAAGGTTTTTCTTTTTCTTTTCTTCTTCAAAGTAAAAAAAAAATAAATGAATTACCACTTTTGTTTTTTATTTATTTTTCATGAACAAAATCAAAATTTAAAATATAATCGAAATTTATCAAACTTAAATACATATAATTAATAGGAAAGAGCATGGCGATTAGAAATTTCACTACCAATTCATATTTTTGCTACATTTTTAGTGTGAAATTTATGAATGTTTAAATTTATGCTAAGAATGAAAAACCAGTAAATATATTTATAAAGGAAATTACGAAATGAATATTTCAGAGAAGTACGCAGTCATAATAATAATCCAAACAATACAATAACATTTGTCGTGCATGGTGCGCATACAGTAAGCGGTGAAATACGCCGAGGAGTTCAATTAGTACTTCCTTATTATTTTACAGGTTATTTTTTAATTTTTTAACTCTCAAATAATAAAAACAAATTCACATTTTAATTTGTCACTTTATGCTACTTTTTGTTTTTCCTTCTATCAACAAGAAATTGAAAATTGAAATTTATAATCATTTAAATAGATCATGAATGTTATCATCATATAATAATTTGGGTACAAATGATATCACTGGATAATTTAACTAGAATTTGAGTACACAATGACATTATTGAATAATTGAATCATAATTTAAATAGATAATGATGACACTGAGAAAATTCATTTATAATTTGAACAAATAATAATAACGAAGTTTAATAATCCAATTTTAATTTGAATAGATAATGATATCACTGAATTTTCACACTATCAAAATTATCATTAATGAATCGATCATTTCAGGAGCTCTGTTACTAATCATTTTTGTTGTTACAAGTTTAATTTTGGCAGCATTATGCTATTCATATCCAATGAAACGCTTACAACTAATTTTGCCGTTAGCAGCGATCATTTCACCGATCCTAGCAGCAATATCAGCCATTGATCTAATACTTTTGACTGGTTATCATATCAATATGTTAATTCTCGTATCACCTTTTTTAACATTAGCCACAGGTATAGGTAAGCCATTGCATATGCTTTACTTTTCCCGTGCTTTGTTAAATTTAACTATGGTTATAGGTACAAAAGAATAAATTTGCAATTTTAACAAATAATATTTCTTTATTTGCAAATAAAAATTTGAAATTTTTGTTAATATAAAATAATTTGCAAAATTTCATTTAATTAATTTATTAATTGTAGCCTACCATTATTTGATTTACTTACATTAATTAATTTTATTCTTATTTACTATCTCAAAATTAGTCATCTTCCTTAATTTTGTTATAATTTAAAATTTATTAATCATCTTTTCTCTATCACAGTTACCATGATCATTAATAACTATTCAACAATAATTTGAAGCAACAAATTTAATTGTTTGCTGGTGATGCAACTGCATTCTGCATGCTCCGGAAAGTGTTGTATGATATTTAACTGCCCTAACTGTTCCGTTTTATTCTATTTGTAAATGAACACAACGATATATGATTTCCTTTTTTCCTTATCTTTATTCTATACTTATTTTTTATTCAATCTTTATGCATTCTTTTTTATTTGTCTTCCTCTCGATAGCAACTCGTTCCCTATTGTTTTATTTATTTATTGTTCATCCAATTTTCATGCTTTTCAATTTCCTTTTTTTTTTGGCATTAACTTTATAATGCTTATTATTTTTATATTTGTATTTTGGTATATTTTGTATTTTAAGAATTTTAATATTTCGTAATTCTTATTTCATTATTTCGTACTTATTTATTATATAGAACAATCAGTTCAGAAATATCATAGCGATTCTTATTCTATAAATGACTTATAGAATAAGAATCGTTATACTTATAGAACTTATAAAATAAGGATTTATGATATTTTTTACTGATAAGCATTATATAAGTCACATATTCGTGAAATTATTGATCTATTTCGTCTATTTTTATTGTGATCGCTGATATTCAGGTCAAAAAAAAAATTATTGATAAGCATTATATAAGTCACGTATTCGTGAAATTATTGATCTATTTCGTCTATTTTTATTGTGATCATTGATATTCAGGTCTAATAAAAAATAGCAGAAATATTGATAATAGCCATACATTGTCTCTTTGTTATGACATTATTGCAGTGAGGATTTTACTTTACTAATGGAAAGGAGGGTGAAGTATTGTAACTGCAATGGAAATTCGAAAGAATCCAGTAGGAAATATTTTAACGAACTTTTTGGCCATTTGATTTCACCTTTATGTATTATTGCAAATCATACTATTGAATTGTTGTAAAATTATTTGTGTGGTTTCTTTTTTCTTAGCTTTCATCTCTTCTACATACCAAATGAGGGATTATTCGTAAATTAAAATTTTGAAAACGTTCTATTCTACGGAGAAATTTTGACTTTTTTACCAAGTTCCTTCCGCTAGTGCAGTTGCTCGATATCCATCGCCAAAGTTTGGAAAATTGAAATAGCCTACCCCTATATTATAGCAGCGTTATCGTTGATAATACTAATGCCTTTCCTGGTTACTTGCAACGGTTACTGAATGCTGCTGTTGCGTCCTGCTCTGGCTGCCTCTTAGTTTGAGAAAAAAACTACGAGTCGGCA